CCCTGCAGAAGCCCTGGCTGCCAAACTGGCATTTCCTCTAAGGATAAAGGCAATCTCTTAAATATTCTGCATGGAAACCTCACTAGGGTTCAGCTTGGGCCTTGCTGCTCTTCCAAGGCATTGGAGTACTGGGGCTGAGCCACAGCATGAGCAGCCTTGTGGAATTTAGGGGAACCCCCCTTGCCAGAGTCAAGTTACAATGCCAGATCGCCATTCCTACCTGAGCCTCCGGGATGTAATGCTGTTGCCTGCATTTTGGCTGTGAGCCTTGTAAGCTCACAAGTCCCACAGGGACTGAAGGCCTCAAGAGGCAGATGAAGCTGCTAACAGAGGAATAACTTATCAGCAATCAGAACAAAACCACTCTGCAATTTCTTAGAGATGGGTCCCAGTTTGCCACCCCTTGGGACAGGGAACCTCCTGGCTCAAGCAGGATTACATGTGGCGTGAACTTACTTGTGCAGAGTCTCTTCCTAGTTGCAATATTCTTGAGCTGAGGAGTAAATGTCTGTCTGACTTCCCCTCTGCCAGCTCTGGCACAACGGCTTCAGGGAGAGCTTTGGTGAAAGGGGCTGAAATACCAGAGCATTTGGGGTGGCAAATTTTGGTTGCTCCTCTAGGACTGATAGACTTGATTTCCACAAACGCAGTGTCACTTTGTTCTCTTGCTGGAGATCATCTGCAGCCCAGCTCTTTGCCTGGCAGTTCTCTGCAGTTTCCCTGGTGTGAGCACTGTTACAGGGGCCCACGATTTCCCCTGCTAAATCCAAAGCCTCTATTGGAAATCAGACTGGAGTACCCCATTCACCCAATTAATTAGAACTAATGAACACAAAATGAGATGCTACCACAGTATTTGGGGATGTGGAAGGGAGGCCCAATTCCCCACATTTTTCTTCTAGCTGGCAAGGCTTGATGAGATTCCCGAAGGCCATACAATACCTAAAAGAGAGGGATCCTAAGGAAGAGCGTCCCACCCCCATGGGAAACCCAGTCCTCAGATACACGTCATAAGAAATAAGCATTTAGAAAGTCAATCTACAGCCTATTATAAAGTGCATTTAAAGCTCTTTGCCATACTGAGATCAATAAATACGCTTAGACTGAAAAAACGGACATAGTTTCAATTCTGCTAATATGTTCTTTCGGGGAAGGCTGTTTTGATCACCTGCACTGCTACATACTATTACTCTTTTCTGCAGGTTTGTCAACACAGAGCACGAGGACGTAACAATACCATTAGAGTATACCTCCCTCATGCGGTATGTAAGAGAAATGCAACAGCAATAACTGCATGCCGTGCAGCAACTTGGGGGAGGTAACTCCTGGTCACTACCGACGCCGGAACAACAACAAAAAGTACGAGGCGCCTAGGCTTCAGACGGAGACGTTACTACCCGATTTACCTGAGCTGCGATTCCTGAAGCGAATTAAATACGCTCACCACAGCGCCGGCGGGAGCCCTCGGGGGCGGGGGCCGCCATTACCGACC